GCTGCCCTATAGTCCGTGCAGAGATCGCACACGGCTCTCGTTTCGTGAATGGTAATATAGATCTGGCGAACCCGATCTCTCCTCATTTCTAACGGACAGTACACCACGAGTTCAAAAATAACCCCCCTAACGCAGCAGACTTGCAGCTCACCACCCTCACTTCTAGTGAAGAGGTGCTAAGAAAACTTGCTGACCTTAGGAGTAATCCGGCAGGTGCGTATGGTACAAACAGAGTTACTTGATTAGGGAGACATTATAGTGCACCAATTGGGAGGGAACTTTCAAGCGCCAGCAAACACTATGTGAAGGAGACCGAGTCAGGCAATGAAAAGTCAGCATACGCTACAGTTGGCAACAAGCTGGTTCTACGACACCTTAAAATTTAAAAAAATTAGGTTGAGGGTCATTAATTACTACGTATTTTTGTTCGGCGGACTGGAAAACGCGAAAACGGGCAAACCTACACCATATGGGATTAGCTTCACCCCAGAGACCGCATCTAACTATGTTACAGGCCTTAAGTAACGCGAAGGTTTTTAAACGCTGAGAGAATCAAGGGCACCCCTTCGCTCTTCAGATTCCTCAAACAAGTAAATGGTTGTGAGGGCTGGAGGATAAAGCAAACGTCGGTCAGAAACTGACCAAAATGAGTCCTTTAAATCCCCCCGTCAGCAAAACACTCTTTGTCACTGCACACACCGACTCAATGTCTAGATTACAAATAATAAGACAAGAACAGGATAATACGGGAAAAAAAACCTTTGCACAACAATAGAGAAGCATGTGTGGCTTCTGAAATACCTGGAATTTCGGGAAGTTGGTTGGCATATCAACACCGTGCTCGAAGGACCATTGCTTCAGATCGGCCTCGGAGTCGACAAGGTTAAGAGTCTCTTCAAGTTTCTTATAAATATCCGACAGTCTGAAAAGGAATGGAATAAAGGTGTTTCCAGTGAGGGGAGAGGTGACGAGTAAAGCTAAATGCCCTATAATTCAGAAGAACATAGAACTGTCAAAACAGATTAGCAAACAGTGGGTTGACTGGCTCCAATTTGCACTTTTAAAGGCCATGGCAACAGATTGATGAAACGTGGAGTACCCAAGGGAAAATTCGACTCACTTTCTGCTGTGACGTAGCTGAATAAATTAACTTGACAAAATACCAATTTCACACTGACAAGTTGAACAGATCATGTGACTCTGCACTCAAGTACATACAGCCTCTCATGAACTCCATGTTGCACCCTTCCAAAAGGTCGTTTTGTTGTTGTGAAAGTTAAACAAAGGAATTTATTGAAAGCCAACGATCCCAAATTACGAGCAAACGTCATGTGCACTAGCGTAGACTTAGATCAACCATCGCGCAGGGCTTCCCTGGATTAACTAGTAGCATTTGTTATCAAGCATGCAGTATGTACTAAGCTAGTAGGCAGATAAGTCATTTTCTCAAAAACACCTTTACAGTAAATCTATTTTTTTCTTTCCCATGTCAAATGTAGCTGCCTGTTTAATTATTCGCGGCTAAAATGTGACGGAAGAGTCCAAGAGGAGAACTATTTACTGCTGTGAGGCCACTGAGGCTTCGAAGAAAGTTTGCTGCAGATGCGGTGGCTGGGTTCTGAGGCCTGCGTACATTAAATAAATTACTTTGAGAGAGACAGCTTGCACTTGGGCGTGGCACTGAGTGCAACGACTGGCCGAAGGTGGGGGTCGGAGAGATGGGCGTTTGATCGGTAATTTCTTCCTCAAACCAAAAAAATGTTCTAGGCCTGAATATCGTGGATTGACTTTGCAGCCATAAGTTCATGGATAATGCGCCTCGACACATCATCGAAAGTAAGCAATTAGCGGGAGTGCTAAAGGAGTGCGAGCTAGCTTTGGATCAACCCAAACAGGCTCTGGCATTCTCTCTTACCCTCGGCCTTCCAAATGTCCCTTTATCTGCCGGTGACTTTATTATTGATACTGAAACCCAGCGATAAAGCTATCGGAGCTGTCCTGCTGACTCAGCTGACTCCGCCGGTGGCTTTCGCAAGCAAGCAGGCAACAAAGCCAACACACGAACGACCTTACAGCATCACGACGCGTCGAAAGATGTTAGCCCTAATGTATTTTCTCAACTATTTTCGCTCTTACCGGTTGGGTCGCCATATTTTGGCTCGCACAGACCATAGCGTCCTACGCGGGCTGCAAAATGCTCACGACCTAGAAGGCCAAGTAGCGCGCTGGCAAAAAAAAACAGCTGCAAGCATATCAGTTTACTTGCGTGTGCCACCCAAATGTGAAACATCAGAACGCTGACGCTCTTTCTAGATGTCCGATTTCAACCGATGGGGTTCTCAATGCTATTCTTACGGTCGATAACGTACACCACATGAATCCATCTTCAAGCCGTGGATCCAGACTTCGACGACATATAAGACCGACAGCTACGCGAGTCCCGGAAACCGAC